GTCATTGTTCATGTCACTCATTAATAACTTCATATCCTCAACCTCTTCTACCAAACACTCATCAGCCCATTTGAATAAATGTCTCTGCTTGCACTAATATAATCAGATCTCAGTAGCACAAAATGAATATATGGCAAATAAGAACAAAATTAAACCTATTATATCCTATTGCACAACAATAGTACAATTTTCATGGATTTGTAACTGATCCGGATGTACATATCTCTGAGGCTGCACCACACCAACATTTTTTTGGCGTTCCTCTCTCCCCATTCGTCCGTAGTCGGTTTGAATTAGCTGATGAGATTGTGTTAGATGAGGAAGACATTTTTCTGTTGGAACCCTAATCTCAACGTTTTCTTCTGAAAAATTACTTTATTACATCGTTATATAGAGGTGGGCCAGGTACATGTTAAAATATTTTCAAGTTCTCGCACAAACATATTTTCAAGTTCCCGCTCAAAGGCTGAGTTATTAACATGTTACGGCTGAGTTATGTTACGGCTGAGTTAAGGCTGAGTAATTAACATGGAAATATAAACTAAACCTTAGCCACTAACATATCACGGCCGGGTTAAAATATTTTCAAGTTCCCGCACAAACATATTTTCAAGTTCCCGCCCAAAGGCTGAGTTATTAACATGTTACAGCTGAGTTAATGTTTAGGATAATTTTAACAAAGCCGTAACATGTTAGTGGCTCAGTTAATGTTACGGCTGAGTTACGGCTGAGTTAAGGCTGAGTTATTAACATGGAAATCTAAACTAGACCTTAGCCACTAACATGTTATGGCTGAGTTAAGACTGAGTTATTAACATGTTACGTCTGAGTTAATGTTTATTATATTTCTATATAGGGTTTATATCAACTCCAATTTTCCATTAACTAAACTATGAAAAGTAATGGAAAACTGGAGTTGATATAAACCCTATATGAAAATATAAACTAAACCTTAGCCACTAATCACTAAACCATATATGGAAATATAAACCCTAATCCAATGTCAACCCCAATCTTCCATACACTAAACCAAATTTAAAAATACCAATAAGGTGTTTTTCCATTCTACATGAGTATATAGAATAAAAAATGTGACAAACGAAATAACACAATACATATTGTTCACATTTTGAAGTGTCTATTATTACAGGTAAAAAGGTAATGCTTACACAAAATTCAGATTGGGGGCATTAAACAGAAAAGGTGCAAGAGACAACATCATATGAATATCATTCCATTCAACATCACATTTTATTCTGTTTTATTTGATGTCATAATAAATGTTATTCTTTTTATGTCCAATATATTGTTTTTCTTTACAAAATCATATACACGCTAATATAAAACACATATATATGTATTGATACAAAACTCATATCAATAAAACATGAAACAACAACAACAAGATTGAATCCTCTTTCGGTTCTCTTCCCTCAAGCAAGACCTTAGTCTTTTCATGTCAGTAAAAGTCAACTATTTCACCACAATTGAGTCCATACCAAACTGAAGAACAAAGTAAGAGGGAAACATGGTTATAAATATGTCTCAAACAATCTACTTGACGGCCTAATTCGTCTATGCTAAAATTGAAAAACAAAGTAAGAGGAAAACATGGTTATAACATAGTAATCCATTGTATTTTATATAGAAACGAACTTTTTATATTTCAAACATTACAATGATGAAGAACGGTAGTGCATTCAATATAGATCATACAATTTCATCTCAAATTGAATAGTTTATCAATCGATTTCATCTCAAATAGAATAGTTTGAACATATAATATTTCCTATTCTATTTCAAATAGAATATGCATAAAAGATCTCACGCAAACAAGTTGTATTGCAGCTGCTATTCCATACAAAAAACGAAATTGACCATAATGCAATGCTATTCCACATAGTAAATTAAATTAGTATTTCATGTATCGAAAAAACACAATTATAATGTACGAAACACAACGAGTAAACCATAAACCATACTATTCAAATGGAAGAGAAAACACAATCAAATGAAAGCGCATTCAAGCCAAATAGAATAGAAAGTGAATTTAGACAGACGAAAGGACGCTGAAGAGAATCTATAGAATACAAAGATAATTTATGGGAGTTTCAGAGATCTAATTCCCACAGAAAAGTAGAAATAGAATTGACAGTAAGACGACATGAAGAGGAGAAACCGGAGAGCTTACCATCTGTCAATCGATCGGAAATAATTGGAGTTTCAGAAGTTTCCTCGAACACTGGTTGTCAAACGCCGCCGCTGTGGAGTATACACTAGCGATTCTGTGCCGATTCTGGAGTAGAATGGGAAGGTGATTATGACGACGAAGATGTGAAACTTGGAAGAGAAAGAGGCGGATTCAACGCGTTCATTGGTGTTGTTGTCGGAGACGTTTAGCTTTCCACGGAATTATTGCTATATGTGAAAAGCATTTGTGGAAGAAAGTAACCCATAAATACAATTTATAATTTTATACCAAATAAAAATAAATTTAATTTTATTTCGTGCAAGTAAAACTGATTGATTTGAAAGACAATATTGTATTAATATAGAAAATTCCATAGCGCCCAATTTCCCGAATATCTTTTTATCTCCATAAATATTAAAGCAAACCATACAATCAACGAACAAAAAAATATTATCTTGTTGAAAAAAAAAATATCATCTTAGAACCTTTTTCGGTCATCAGTAGTCACCATGCTATGACCTTTTTGACGTAAATGCAGAACTTTTTATAATTGCAAAGTTTTGACATGTCAGTTGCATATATGTCAAATCTTCAAAACTTGTATATTAAGTGACACAGATATATATTTTGGTATACTTTTCATATTTTCAATTAATTAGATAATATTTTTTTCTATTACATATTTCTCATCGTTCTCCAAATTTTCAAATTATAAAACAAGAGCATAACTATCGCTGGTCCTTAACAAGATTCTTAAGCAAATAAATTCATTTAATTAAATCTAAACTAAATAAAAAAATGTTACCGATCCTTTAAGAAAGAACTAGATTTTGACCCGCTCAACCGAGTGGATGTTTAATTTTATATATATATATATTTGTTTATATCATTACTGGTAGATATTTAATATATTAATTATATATTTAAATATTTATTTATTATTATTTTGCTTGTCAAAAAGAGATTTATTTATTTATGTTTATTAATTTTAGATAATATATTGTTGTATATATAAATGTAAGAGATGTTAATCTGTATATATGTATTCTATAGTGTAGTATGTTAATCCGTTTTAAAAATATTATATTATTTTAACATAGATATTATAATTATGAAAATAAATATATTAATATATCATTTTAATTATATTTATCATATTTAGTTTAATATAAAAACTATTTTGATATGATAGCTTATGTTATAAAATAAATAAAAAATATGATAAAATTTTTATTTTTTATTTTATAAATGATAATTAAATATATATTAAGGTATAGTAATATTTTTTTATTAATTAGGAAATAAGTGAAAATATTTAGTTAAAACTTTAAAAATTGAGATCTTGTTAAAATCTTTATCAACAAATTTGTTAGAATTTTAAAATTGAAAGATATTAAAAGAATATTATGATTAAAGTTGCATAGGTTTTATATTATTAGTCTTAAAGAATTACATTTATAAATTTGTAAGGAAATGTCCAACTAAAGTATCACACATAAAAAAAGTCATAAGTTCTATTTTAATGAAATAAATACAATTCACTCAAACAACTGTAGAACTATACGATAATGTTAGTCTAAGGACTGATTTGATAATAGTTTATGTTACCATTATGTATAAATTGATTAAATTATAAGAATCAGTTCAGAATTGGAACTATACGATAATGTATCCGTTTATGATCGGTTTGATAATGGTTTATTACCACTATGTATACATTGATTTCACATATTTAATTTAATAAAGAAGAAAATATATGTTTGTTAACCGAAGCGTATAATTTGCCGAATTGGAATATTTGGAGTGATAAAGTAAAGTATATTATTAGTAATGAATAAATGATAAATGATTTCTAATGAAGGTCCATTTTAAGAAAATCATACATGAACTAAAGTTGTGTAATAGACTAGATTTTTTGACCCGCGCAACCGCGCGGGTGTTTGTTTTCGTTTATAGTTAGTTATATAAACATTTTGTTTTCACTTGTAAATTGGTATATATTATAGTAAATTTTTTTCAAACATAATAATAGTATATAATAAGTGTTTTAATCAAATAGATTGTTTTAAATTTTCTATATTATACATGTTTTTTAAACATGTGTTTGTTTCTTCTTCTATATTTTATTGTTTGTTAGATTAGTATTTCATTTTTAAATAAAATAATATAATAGAGATTGATTAAATATTAGTATACTTTAATTTGCAAAGATAATATAAACTTCGAAGAAGTTTTTGCTAAAAGCTAAATTTATAGCTTCATAAATTAGTCTTATAAAGAATTTTATTTAAAAATTTTTTTTTTAAACAATCTCGTTTTATAAAACAATATAATTTTAAAAATTTACATCGAAATAAATTTATTAAATATATATAACGTGTAAATTTTGTTAGGGTATATAAATATTCCATATCACTAATCTGTGATTTTTGTTAATATATTGTGGATGCATTTAACTATTATTGACATATTTCCTTATAAATAATAGAAGATTCCTAAACTTATATCTATTGACATATTTTGCGTGACTAAGTTGGAAGGTTACCAAAACCAAATTGTTAAGCGTATCTTTGTTATTATAGATATGAATTTTGAGAAGATATAATAATAATAAGATTATTAGAGAGTTAATATAACATAACTTTCTAGTAATAGTCCATTTTTTAAAAAATCACACATGAAATCAAGTCATGACTTCTGTTTTAATATATAAGATTTGGGATCGATTATTAAGTTGATTATTAAGTGGAATCAGAGATTTTGCATTTATTATTGGGTTTCTTCTCTCTTTTTCTTTCCTTTTGTTTCTCTCGTATTTTCCATTCTCCGCCTCTTGTGTTCTCCAGACGACGATGAGAAGCAACCAGTGTCGCGGCGGACACATGTTCGATCCGACCAAGATCGTGTCGGAAATCGATGTAACAGCTGTTCCCGCGCTTGGGCACAAGATCGAGAACGTCCCCGAGATGCCTTTTATGGTGAGTGACTCTGCCGAAGCCGTGGAGAACGTCAGCTGCTATCAAGGTGTTGAATCAGATTGGTGCTTATGATGACGCTGAGAAGGCTAACGATAGTATTGGGATTAGGTCTGGAGGTGGGGAAGATGAGGAAGTTATGGACAAGCTTTCAGCAGGTTATTCTTTTAAAAAAAAAAATTGAGTTTCCAGTAATCTAGCTTCTGAGACTAACGCTTAGTGAGTTGTAACAGCAAATTTTTAGCGTGACCGTGTCCAAGAGACTTGTAGAAATTTGAGGGCTCTGAATGATGTTCGTGATCCTAACATTGGCATGCCTCTTAGCATTCAGCAATTTTGCGAACTTATCAAATGAAGGCCCAATCCCGCCCCGCAGCAAGCCTTTATGGGCCAGACCCGCGGTCCAGATCTTTGATTGCCATCCCTAATATTGGCTTAAAATATTTGCCCTGACTACAATCAAAGACTGGGAAGGTCTTGAGAAGTTTTCAAGGGAAAAGAGCCACCAACTCACTCTTTAAGATGATTGTCAATTTCTATTATTGGCGTTGTGTAGGAAGTGGTGATAATGCATTGGCGTTGTGCAAAGACACTTGAAGTTCGATTTCTGTTTTAGTTTAAGAGTTTGTGATCATCTACTTGTAGAATTTAGTGATCATATAGCTGATTTTGTCACTTATAAAATCTCTCTATAACATAACCTTGTACATATTTTTTTAAGAAACCCAAATGATGCGCCCCGGTTCGAGCACCGACCTGCTTGGATCATAGAAACTGTCCAAGGAGACGATTTTGTCAACCAATTCGATCCAACCGAGGTTTCCCCATCAGATGACGCAACTATGGACGAGCTGAATGAACTGAGTGAGCTAAGTGACACTAGCTTGGAGCTCGATAAACTAAGTGACACTGAAAATGGAGCTGGTTTAGTTGCTGGGCGAAATGACCCTTTTTCAGCCCACATAAAAATTCATAACAAATTCAATTTGGGTCCGATTTACATCAAATTCTATGTTTAACCCAAAAATGGTGCATTTGTTGGATTTAGACAATAAATTTGTGTGTAGGTTTAGAAGAAATCTTCATAGATATCAAATGGAAAAATGAAACACAAAAGAGATTTTTTTTAATAAAAGATTGCATTACAAAGAGTGTAAAGTGAATCAAAATCTATAAAATCTCTATGGAAAATGTGTTCTTGCTCTAAGAAGAGAGCAATCTAAGAAGAGACTAAAGAGCAGCCCCTTTTCTAAGAAGGAGGTGACTCCTCTATTATAGAAAAATGTCTAGGGCTTCCTAGTAGAATGTGCATAATTCATTGTCTTAATGGGCCTTGTTGGAGGATGTGAATCCACCCCCAACAGTAAGTCCCCCCAGTTCGTAGAGAGATGAAATCGATCTCTGCGAAGTTTGCGAATAAGGTTTATGAGACAATGAACTAGGCACATACTCATGTCGCAGACGAATTGTCATGAACGGGCTGTCATGGTTAGGTTGTCATAAACGAAGTGTCACGGACGGACTGTATTTGGGCGAGTTGTCATCAACATACTTCTGATTCCAATCGGACTGCACTCCGGGGATGGTTGCGCGAACGATCTGTGTGGACAGTGTTCTGAACCACCCGAACGAGTCGCCATGGATGAAGTGTCAATCGACTAACTGCCAAAGATAAGTCGCCATAGACATCGTCATGAACGTACCACCATGAACGAGCCGTTGCAATCAAATCGCCAAATATGTCTTCGCGGATGTTGCGATCAATGTGTAGATGGAGTGATGAAATCGACAATTGAGATTGGCGGGATGAATCTTGTTCCTGCCCAACTTGTAACAGCATCTTGGTGTCTCCTTTGCGAGCTTGCAAAAAAGTGACAAGATGAGATGACTTCCGATAATGAAGCTGGATGCCGGGATCAGATTGTTGTTCCAAGGTAATCACGTGACTTCTCTTTGGCTTAACAACTCTCTGGTTCAAAAAAAGTGCGATCATGATTAGATCAGTATAGATTAAAAGTGATAACCAAGTTCTGCATAATCAATAAGAAAGCAACGGAACTTGCTTGTGCTCAATGCTCATAGGCTTAGAGTTATAAGCAAGCAATGGAAATAGTAAAGCAATAACATGATCCATCTCATACGAGAATGAACAGCTTAAAGTTGTTTAATAGCTTAATCCAAAGCCACAATGTTTATTGTGCTACTAATTTAAAATTGAATAAAGCATGTGGTAATTCGATAAAAGAACTTATCTTTGCGGTGGAGATGCTGAGTGCATAGCAAGAGCTGGAGAGTAGACAAACTTCAATGGAAGTGGATGAATTTGTAGGGCTTGCTTGAAGCCGATGAACAGAAATTGGCAAGTTAGGAACCTGATGAAGGCATGACGAGATTTCCTCATTAAGCCAAGAGCTCAAGCTCATGAGCTCTGCCAAGAACAAGTTTGTGAGCTCTGTTGCATTCTTTTCAAGTGGAACGATGAGACGACAAGCTCGTGCCGAGACGGCAAGCTTGTGACGAGATGTCCCTTGTTTCTGAGACGAAGCACAACGAAATTCTTCCACGTGAATAGCTCTTTGCGGTGAAGAACCAGAAGCCAACGTCTGAGGTGGCTCCTTGGGGAGTGGTTGGTGTTGAAGAAGCAAGCGAACAAGACTAACTTGGCTCCCAAGCACAAGACTCAGCAATCTCAAGTCAAGCTGACGAGTTGAAGAAGCCTATATGATCATGAAGTCTCGTGAACCTGGTCTGAATCTAAAACGGCGAACCGTTTTTGGTTCCATCTGCTTTCCTTCTTGCCGAGAGGGAGACCTTGCCGAGAAGAGACCTTTGTGTCTCTTGTTTTGCAGCTTGAGCGGAGCTTTGAGAAATTGAAACCACAGCTTTGACTTGTTGTAGAGATCATGAATGAGCTTGAGTTTGAAGAAAAAGCTACAATGGTGGATGATGGTGTGCTTTGCGCCAGTGTAGAGATAATGTAGCCCTCTAGCTGCACCGGTGCATATCTCAAGACGTTGCTTCCAAAGAAGAAGAGACTTCTGAGTCTTGTAGAGATGCTCTCTCATTGCCACATGAGCCATGTAATCATACACTAAGATCACTTCACAATTCTCTTCACATTAACCGATCAGCTACACAAGGTGACGATATCTAAGCTTTGAAAGCATTTCAATCACGGTCTGAAACTCAGGGGTTGATGCAGGGGTCGTGATTGTGGATCTTAAGCAAGAAAGTTCTTGTCTTTGTTACAGAGATCAAGTCTTGACCTTGGTTGCAATCTATCAGGATCCAACGACAAGTGTTTCTGTCCAATCTCTACAAGCAAAAGGACGAGACGACGAGCTCGTGACCCAAATTTTGTCATCCCTTCTCAAGTTTTACTCATTGGCAGGGATATCTCTAGTGCACGCCAAGTGTTCGACGAAACACCTGAGAAATCTCTGCAAGCTATTGAGCTTTGAAGTTCTCGTGATTCAAGTTTCCTGCTTTCTTCCTTCAGCTATGTGTTTTTACAAAAAGATAAGATGACCAGTTGTCCCGAGATGCAAGCTTGTGGCGATTACGAGATATGTTGGGTCTGAGAAGACATGGNCTCTAGTGCACGCCAAGTGTTCGACGAAACACCTGAGAAATCTCTGCAAGCTATTGAGCTTTGAAGTTCTCGTGATTCAAGTTTCCTGCTTTCTTCCTTCAGCTATGTGTTTTTACAAAAAGATAAGATGACCAGTTGTCCCGAGATGCAAGCTTGTGGCGATTACGAGATATGTTGGGTCTGAGAAGACATGGAAGAACATATGTAGGCTTTAGTCGACAATAGCTTTTGGTGGCTTGAGATTTTTGGTCGGCAAGATCAAGTCTTCGGCTTGTGACGAAACAGCTTGTGACGAAACAGCTTTGCTTCCGAGAGTTTCTAGTTGACGAAATCAAAATCGAGCTTCGTTACCGCCGAACTCGAGCTCCAATCACAATTACCCGCTCCACCAAGATAAAGTCACGAACTTGAGAAAGCTTCTTTCTATTTTTTTTTTTGTCAAAAACCAGATCTTGATTTTTCCAGGTTTGATAAGCTTTTCAGATAGTTCTCCTTGGACCCCTACCTGGTGCGCCAACTGTTTAACCCAAAAATGGTGCATTTGTTGGATTTAGACAATAAATTTGTGTGTAGGTTTAGAAGAAATCTTCATAGATATCAAATGGAAAAATGGAACACAAAAGAGATTTTTTTTTAATAAAAGATTGCATTACAAAGAGTGTAAAGTGAATCAAAATCTATAAAATCTCTATGGAAAATGTGTTCTTGCTCTAAGAAGAGAGCAATCTCAGAAGAGACTAAAGAGCAGCCCCTTTTCTAAGAAGGAGGTGACTCCTCCATTATAGAAAAGTGTCTAGGGCTTCCTAGTAGAATGTGCATAATTCATTGTCTTAATGGGCCTTGTTGGAGGATGTGAATCCACCCCCAACATTCGACCAGACCTTTGCTGATGTTCTTCTTCCAATTTGCATCAAAAAATATCAACGAAAGGAGTTAAAGTCGTGGTCATATCAAGGGGCATTCAACAACACACTTATTTCTAGTCAAAAGTCTTAGTCTTTGTTTGTGTTTTCTAAGTTTCTAATTTTAATCAAAAACTCTTCATTTCTTTTGACCACAAGTAGTATAAATATGTAAACTCTTTTATGCATAAAATCAGTGTATGTTTTTGAGTTTAAATTCGTTTCTTCTCTGAGTGAGAGAGAGAGTTCTTTAGCTAGTTTATTGGTGTGAACCGGCTTGTTGATTTGGTGGTCAGCCAATTCATCTTTGTGTGTTGTTTGGTGGTTAGCCAACACATTCATCCTTTCTTTGGTGGTTAACCTTAGATCGTGGGTATATCAAGAGCCATTCCGCATCTCTTGATGATCCTTTCAATCCATCTCAGTTCCAGAAGTGCCGTTTGCCTTCTGGTTTCATATTCAACACCCAGGTAAAGTGATCCTTCGATTTAGGGCGCATCAAGTGGTATCAGAGCCACTTTGGCTGGTTTGTTTTCATTTCATCTCTTCATCTTATCATCCATCCACAAATTTCTTTTATTATTTCTTGTTGGATCCGGGGTGTTCCTTTACTCTCTTGTGATTGCCTATTATATAAAAAATACGTTAAAAAAAAAAAGATTTTGGCTTGAATCACTTCTGAAGAGAAATCCAGGGGGAGTGGTGGAAGAGAAACCCTGCTGGCTGAAGAGAAACCCAGCCTTAAGACACTTAAGGCGGATCCATATCAAAAAAAAAAAAAAAATTCTTCATCTTTCTTTCTCTTTTCTTTTCCCACAAAAAAATGTTTTGGGTTTTGATTGCTGAATTTTGACTGCCTATCATCCTTTGACCAGTGGAAAGAACTCTGAGTGACCACCTTAAAATCGTGAGCTAAACACTTTGAGAGTGTGAGGATTTTTATTTGCTAACGTTTGTTAAGTGTTTCAGGATGTTTGGACTTCTCAAGAAATCAAAAACACTACAAGACGACGTCTACTTTCCTTTTAAAACTGTTTTTGAAAAGGAGCAATTGATTTTTGATAAGAAACAGTTTGCTTCTAATGGATTTGATTTTGTGCAGAAACAAAGCAAGAGACAAAACATGTCCGATGATGATGCGAAGTGGGTCAGAAGTGGTGATCGTCTTTCCACCAAAGCCAAGAGGAGAAACCGTGATGAGCTTAATCAAAACGAGATTCAGACTTATGCCAGCTTGGAGAAGATGTTGTATAAGGCGATTCATGCTGTTTGGCAACTCAAAAATATGGGACACACCAACATTTATTCAACACCAAAACAACAAAGTAAGTCTTCTTATCTTTCAAATTCCGATTTGAAAAATAATAAGAATTCTTTTGATAATAGCAAAGTTGTGAAACCCACAAGCAAAACTCTTTCTACCAGGTGCTTCAAATTCAATAAGGTTGGTTATTATGCTAATAAGTGCCAAAACCAGAAACCGTTGGTGACTTTGGAGAATGACGAAGTGGAAACTAAGCCAGAAAAGGAAGAATTTTTAGACTCATTGCCAATTTTCGATGACTGTGCACTTAAGCCAATGGTAGGTTTGAAATCTTCTGAAAATAAGAACTTATTTTCTTCTCAATTTAAATCACTTCCTGATGAATCATGCTTGCAACTAAATGTTTTACAACCAGAGAGTTCAAGTAATTTTGAATTGATTTTTCAGTTTGAAAAAGATTCTAAAAACGTTTTGAACAAACATGAATTTTCTGGTCCCTTGAACGTTCTTGATATTGGCACCTATGACTTTGGTCTTGAAAGTTTTGTGACAATGCAGAAAGGGCCAGATGAAGAAGAAATCCATGGTCATCAAGCAACCCAAGAAAGATTTTTTTCCATTCAAAAACCGGACCAAACTCAAGGTGAACAATGTTCTGATTATGTTTCCTTTGCTTATAACCTGTTCCCTTTAATGTTAGAGATTTGAGGACAAATATTTTTGAAGAGAGAGGGAATGATGCGCCTCGGTTTGAGCACCGACCTGCTTGGATCATAGAAACTGCCCAAGGAGACGATCTTGTCAACCAACTCGATCCACCCGAGGTTTCCCCATCAGATGGCGCAACCATGGACGAGCTGAGTGGGCTAAGTGAGCTAAGTGACACTAGCTTGGAGCTGGATAAGCTAAGTGACACCAAAGTTGGAGCTGGTTTAGTTGCTGGGCGAAATGGGCCTTTTTCAGCCCACGGAAAAATTCATAACAAATTCAATTTGGGTTCAATTTACACCAAATTTGACCAGGCATTTTCTGATGGTCTTCTGCCCATTTGCATCAAGAAATATCAACAAAAGGAGTCAAAGTCGTTGTCATATCAAGGGGCATTCAACAACACTTATTTCTAGTCAAAAGTCTTAGTCTTTGTTTGTGTTTTCTAAGTTTCTAGTTTTCTTCAAAAACTCTTCATTTCTTTTGACCACAAGTAGTATAAATATGTAAACTCTTCTATGAATAAAATCAGTCTATGTTTTTTACTTTAAATTCGTTTCTTCTCTGAGTGAGAGAGAGAGAGTTCTTTAGCTAGTTTATTGGTGTGAACCGGCTTGTTGATTTGGTGGTCAGCCAATTTATCTTTGTGTGTTGTTTGGTGGTTCGCCAACACATTCATCCTTTCTTTGGTGGTTAGCCTTAGATCGTGGGTATATCAAGAGCCATTCCGCATCTCTTGACGATCCTTTCAATCCATCTCAGTTCCAGAAGTGCCATTTGCCTTCTCGGTTCATATCCAATACCCAGCTAAAGTGATCCTTCGATTTAGGGCGTATCACCAAAGCAAGAAACTACCATTGTAGCACAAAAATTAGATGATTCTTAACGAAGGTCCTTAGCTAAAATTTATTAGTTAAATAGTTATTAAAATATACTTAAAAAACCTTATGGGTTTCTAGGGATAATCATACTCTAAAAACAATTCCAATAAGAGGTTCTAACTCCGACATTATATATATATATATATGTATATATATATATATATTAATATTAATATTAATATTTAATTGTGAAGTTCTTAACTTTATGGGAAATCCAACCAAAAAATTCTCATAAAGTTAAGAACTTCACATATACATATCACATATAAGTATTTTAAAAACCTCGAAGCTAGAACTCCCCATTGAAGGTATTTTAATGTATCTTTTTTCAGTCTAACTTTTTTTTAGCTTTTACAAAACTATCTTTGACGATTCTCTCTTTCATTTTTTTTGAATTAGATTTTCCGTAAAATTAATAATATAAATACATATATATATATATATATATATATATATATATATATATATATATATATATATATATATATATATTTTATGAACCTCAAAACTATATCTTCTCATTGGAGATGCTCTAATGTATCTTTCTCCAGTCTATAAGTATTTTTGAAGATTTTCTCTTTTCATCATTATTGGAGAATTTTTTTATTACCAATATAAAATTAAGAGTCTCAAATTTAACTCAAGGTAAAGCAATCATTCTTTTTATATTTGGCTTCTTAAATTTAGCTATACGATTGTTATTATTAAACATCTCAATTTACACTTTTACATTCCATATCACTTTCTCTTTCTTCCACTTATTAATTCATTTTTTTTTTAATTTTTATATTTCTAAAAGGATTATCTAATAAAACTCAGCATTCTAGCCCACTATTTATCTCATATTTCTTTATAAATATATTTTTTTTTTCAAAATATTGAAAATATTTTAAAATTCATAATAACTAAAACTTAAATAAATTTTTATCTATATATTTAACAAAAAATATTTTTGCTCCACTTAATATAAGAGTATTTTCCTTCAAATAACAATATTATATTGAAATAGATTTTTCTGTGTCTAAATTTAAAAAGCTAGTCTCTATTTATAAAGCATAAAAAGTTATAAATTTTGATATAAGTTGTTTCTACAAAAAAATATTATTTGAAATACAATAATTGACCTGTAGTTATTATGGTGTATAAACAATCTATAAAATACTAACAACCACTAATAGAGTTGAACATATACCAATATATAATTTTCTATTTTTAAATAGAAATTTGTTCATATTTAGTCACATTTTTTTTCCTATGGGATACAAAATCAACATAGTAAGCCCCACATTAAAAATTTTCAATACAAAATAATCCACCTCAATTGTTTTGGGTTTTCAACAGGGAATTGCATGTATTTAACATTTGAATGTTAAATTCAAAAGGCCCATTGTATATGGTCTAATAAAATATGAATTCAACTACAATTTTTTTTCGTTTTTCTCAAAGGCCTTTCAATTTGTGTATTTGATTGTTGTGCATCCAATTGCCATATAGTTGGAGATACTCTTTCTCTTGGTATGCCTCTAGCTTTGGGTGGTGTAGATTCTTGTTACAATGATCATCAGCTAAAGCCACATTTTCACATACCAAAAACTACAAACTTCACTTAAAACAGTAATCTCCAATACCTCTTCCTCTTAAATGACATGGTGTTGCTATATTAATCACTTAGAAATGAAACAATCAAAGAAAGAAACAAATTTACAATCTTTTTTCAACGGTTTTTGGCAAGTTTGACTAAGCGTCTCCCTCTGTCTCTCTAACCAACTCCTCATTGTTCATGAATATACTAAAAAGAAAAAAAAAAAAAAAAAAACTGATGATCAAAGCTGCAAACACATACAGAAGAAAACATGTTGGATTAAGGCACTCATAAACAGGAAGTCAGACACTCAAAAACAGTAAGGCATCAAAAGATTCAATCGGCTCACTGTTTTATGAGATCAGTGAGTTAAACACGATCTGTGTTCTAAGATAATCAATTGCGCAACCTCTTTGTCATCATGCTTCATCACATACTAATTTACTAAAGCTTGATTATTAATTGCAAACACACAAAGAACAGTAGATAGGTTTCAGAAACTCAATATTTATTTTTATATAAATTGCACTTCATCTGTTTCCTACAGTCTGCATAAAAAGATCCAGATATGAATCTAAGATCAATATAGAAACAAAAAAGAAACAACCATTAAAAGTTACTTAAAACGACCTCTAGTGAAGATAGCTATCAACTCAGCCACAAGCTGCTCATCATCACGCTTCATCACATACTTATTTAAGAAGGCTTGATCGGTACATACCAAGACAGACTTTACAGAAGGGAGTTTACTTCCTTTAGACATTAGAGCTTTGATTACATTACACCTTGGTATTATCCTCTTCTCCATGCTCAGTCCAACCACCACAGGGTTTGAAACCACAGCCTTTAGCGGCCAGTTCATCTCGTTCACCACAAGCTCAGTCTTCTTCTTCACCAACTCCACAGAATACCCAATGCAATTAGGATATCGCTTGACTATCATCACAACCTCATCTCTGCTGAAGCCTAGTCCTAGCAATGTCTTAACGGAGTCAGCTTTGAGTATGACAGGAAGATTGGCCACTTCTTGAAGATTGTCCAGATGTCCTCCTCAGCAAAGCCTAGCCTTTTATAGATTTCAACTCTTGCTTTTATAGTTTTGTCGTTCAGAGCGTAAAGCATGCGCAGAGCTTCGACAAACCTAAGAGTGGTGGTGGTGGGATCAAAACCCATCTCAAGGACCTTACTGAGTGACTCTTCAAACTTGTCTTTCCCACAAACAAGCTGCACATGGGATGTTAGCAATGAGAATAACAACTTCTGAGGCATCCCTATTTCTCTCTATGTTCCTTATCTTGTTCTCCTGTTTACTACCCTGTGGCAGCAAAGAAGAAGGACACAACTTCTTGAACTTGTAACTCTTGTCAGCTTCTATGTCTTTGACGAAGTCATAGTATCTGCCTAAAGCTTTGTCCTTTTTGGAAACCAGGATTTTAGGAACTTTTGAGAGAACCTCAGTGAGCTCAGTGGTCGAAGCTCCTCTTGACTTTATAAACTGAAGCTTGAGAGCAAGGGATCTCTCGGCATCTGCTATAAGCACGTGTGGATAATCTGTGATGATGGTGGAGATCTGGGAATCTGTGAACCCATGGCTTCTAAGAAGAATCAGCACAGAATCAGAGTTAACCTTGTCCTCGAAACTGACTTTTCTGGCGATGGATTGATTCTGCGAGTTTTGTGGTGAAACCCAGAGATTCAACGAGGTAAGAAGAGACGGTACCTTTCCGCCTCACAGTATCAGCAGCAGCAGCAGAAATGATATGCGTTTTGCACTGCGAATCTCAAATGACGCCATTTCTGCAACTCGATGAACCTTCTTCCATGGAGTATCAGAGAAGAAATGATGACAACTTAACGCCAAATGCGATTACCCAATTGAGCAGAACCAGAAGAAACTTCGAGAAGAACCTAATCCCTAGTTTCAATTGTGATTCCTCGTCAACAAAACATCACTAAAATATACAGTTTTTTTTTCTTAAGGGAAGTTAACTGGTATGAATTTTATTATTTATTGTGAAAACTATACAAAACTTTTTTTTATTATTATTTTTTTTAATATCCTGCGTACCATTTTTTTATGTTGTGAGAAAAATGTATTTACAAAAATACCATTACTTTTTACTATCACGTAGACAAAAAATCGGCTCCACGTAAGATTACGGCATGAAACTCAGCCAATGCGAGACAAATTTCGTTATGACCGAGTTATAGTTACATTGCGGCTGGCTTTAAGAATGCAGTCGACTTATGAGAAATAAGCTGAGTCATGAACATAACTCAGCCTATCGTTACGGCTGACTTAAATAAATGGGGCTGGTTTATGTGAGAACGGCTGAGTTACGGTCACATGATACGACTGACTTATACATCGGCGGGTTGATTTTCTGGAAAATCCAACTGACTTCTAGTTACGATACGCCTGAGTTAACTATCGCGGCTGGTTAAATGATCGTCGACAGGTCGAGTTAAGAGAGGTTTTTACGGCTGAGTTATTTTTAATCAGCCGTAATAAAATGGAGTAACAGTAAACTCAACTGAATTACGGCTGACTTATTAGCGAAAGATTAATTACTAAAATATCATTCATTTGCCGGCTGATTTATTAGACGACACGGCTGACTTATTGTGTTTCATCTTTGTTATGGCTGATTATTAGCAAAAGATTAATTACTAAAGTAGTATTCACGTTGTGGCTGACTTATTGTGGCTGATTTAAGTGTTCGTGTGGTGGCTGAATTACCGATTTTCCATGTCATCATCCATGTCAGCTTTTATTTGCCATGTCATTACCAACGTTACAACCATGAAATTAGGGTTTATGTTACAGATGCCGATCTATGTTCTTCACCTTCTTCTCTTTCTCTAAAATCTTATGGATCCACTAATTATTGTTTCGGGTAACTGGATTAAGAAAAATAGATATGTATTCCAACCCGACAGTAGAGGATGTATAGTTTCTGCATGCAGATGAGTAAACAACACACGACGAACTCGCCAAGTCAGTACTCGATGATTACAGATTGAATGAGTCGAGTCATCAGATTCAGCTAAGCTACCAGTTCTCGAATAAAGCTTTGAAAACAATGTCTCACGACACGTCACCAGTTTACGTCTCCAATACTCGTCAATTGCAAAAAAATTTAAGCCTAAGGAAAATTGAAACGTCTCTGTGTACAGTTTACAGAGAACGAGGATGATGAAATCAGCCGGAAAGACGGAGCGGGAGAGAAGAGTAATAAATTATACAGTTTCAGCTCAGGAGCAGAAGTCTCAGAAGTTGAATCTAGATACGATGGTTATAGTTTGGAGGAGGAACACGACGACAATGAGAATAACTTCTCTAGTATCTTCGACGGAGAAAAATAGAAAGATGTTGGAGAAGATGAAGAAGGCAAAGAAGACATGAATTTGAAAGCCGATTTGACATGTTCGACGACTCAGATGGTGCGTCATCCGAAGATGATAACTTTAGCTCATACGGTGAGTCTCCAGCACAAGACGAAGATTCACCAACACTACCGCCTAAAAAGAGATCCCAGACGACTGAAACTTCTTACATTTGGAGTTGATCTAAAGGGGATTCAGAGGTTCTATGGTTGGAGATGTTTTCGCTAAACCTTGCTGTTGCACAATGATACGAGAGTAAAGCTGAGTTGGAGAAACGACTGAAACTTCTTACAGTGAGAGATCGAATTGATTTTGATGTGGAAGTATCCAACCCAGATTTACTCATTGTTAAGTTTTGGGTTGATGGATGTCTTTGTTGAGTTCGTGCTTCAACACAAGGGGATTCCCCGACATTCTATGTTCGTATTTACGTATCGGAACATACATGTTCTGTAACTGAGTGTTCTAATCGATCTCGACAAGTATCGTCAGATATTTTAGGACAATTGTACAGGGAATTTCTCGGCGACGTTGGTCCGGACGTTCGACCTGCAAGTGTCGGAATAGCTCTCAATAAACAGTTTGGTCTCAAGGTATTTATTTTGGTTAGACTGACTTATATCAACGTTACAGCTGAGTTATATCTACACTTTGTGGCTGACTTATATTAACGTCCGGCTGGATTAGTCAAGTGATAGGCTGAGTTATATAAACTTCAAACGATGCGGCTAAGTTAATTAAGTTATTGGGCTGGGTTATATCAACTTTGAAGGATGCGGCAGAGTTAGCTAAGTTACTCGGTTGGGTTATTTAAATTTCAATGTTGCGGCTGAGTTAGTTAAGTTATCCGACTTAGTTATTTATACGTTCTGGCTGAGTTAGTTAAGTGATCCGGCTGAGTTATTAATACGTTGTGACTGACCTTATTTGTATTCATTTGGGCAGATGGATTATTGGAAATCATATAAGACTCTGAAATTTGCAAGCGAAATCGATGATGTAATACCTGAGAACGGGTTTGAAAACTTGCCTTCTTACTTATACATGATAAGAAGGGAAAATCCTGATACAATAACTCGTCTTCAAATCGATGAGTTTGGAAGATTTTTGTATGTGTTCCTTGCGTTTGGTGCGAGCATAAATGGGTTTCCTTTCATGCGCAAAGTCGTGGTTGTCGATGGTACGTTTCTTAATGACAAATACAATGGGACGCTTCTAACAACACTAGCTCAGGATGGTAACTTTCTGATTTTTTCAATGGCCTTCAATGTAGGCCTGGGCGTTTTTACCCGAACCCGAAATACCTACCTAAACCCGAACCGGAAAAACTGAAACCGGATCCGAACCCTTATACAGAAATATCCGAACGGGACTTATGAGCTTAGTACTTTGGAGTTTGGTTATAACCCGAACCGAACCGAAATCCAAACTAGGATCCGAAGATATCCGAAATTAGCTAAATATGTTAATAATTTTATATATGTTAAGGTGATTTAGATATTTTAGAGTATTCAAAATATTTTGTAGTTTATTTTATATGTTATTTTTGATAGTTTTTAGTTAATTTAGATAGTTTAACTAATTTTTAATTAGATTTGTAAATAACTTATATATTTTTGAAAAATAAATTAGTCATTTTTTGAGGTTTAAAAAATATATATTTTAGATGATTTAAACATTGGTTACATCCGATCAAAACCGAACCCAGAAGGAACCGAACCGAATCGAACCGAATCCGATCTGATAATTAGTAAAACCCGAATGGGACTTCTGAGCTTAACACCGAAAATCCGAAAATCCGAATCACCCGGACCGATACCGACCGGGACACCGAACGCCCAGGCCTACTTCAGTGTGGTTGATACAGAAAATGACGATATGTGGCACTGGTGTTTACGCAACTAAAAGTTTTGATTCCTGACGACAAGGGTCTTTCAATAATCTCAGATAGGCATAACTCGATTGGGAAGGCTATTCGAAATGTGTATCCGTTGGCTTCTCGAGGAATTTGCACGTACCATTTATATAAGAACATTTTGGGACAATACAAAGGAAAAGATGTCTTTCGTCTGGCGAAGAAAGCGACAAGATATTTTAGGAGGCCTGACTTTAATGCAATGGTCGAGGAGATTGAAGCTATTAATCTTGACCTTCATGGGTACCTCCAAAGAGCTGATGTCAGACTGTGGGCACGTGTTCATTTCCCAGACGAAAGGTACAATTTGATGACTATGAACATAGCGGAATCAATGAATAGAGCATTATCAATTGCTAGAGATCTTAAAATTGTTCGACTACTAGAATCGATACGGGTTATGATGATCAGATGGTTTGCTGAATGGAGAGAGGATGCTGAATCGCAGCAAACCATGCTTACACGTGCTGTAGAGAAAGTACTACTTGTAAGTCAGCCGTAATTATTAAATAAGTCCGCTTATTAGATTTTATAACTCAGATGTAGCAACGATAAGTCAGCAATAGTAGATTATATAACTCAGCTGTAGCAACGATAAGTCAGCCTAAATAGATTTCATAACTCAGCTGTAGCAACGATAAGTCAGCCTAAATAGATTTCATAACTCAGTTGTACCAACGATAAATCAGCCTAAATAGATTTCTTACGTCAGCCGTATCATTTAATAAGTCAGCCTTATTAGATTTCATAACTCAACCTCTTATATTTTCATTTTTTATTTATAATAGGGCCGTGTTACTACCGCGAGACTGTTGACTGTACAAAGGAGCGATGCTCATCACACTGAAGTTACATATGGTGAGTCTTTGCATGTTGTTAACTTGGAAGGGAGAAAGTGCACATGCCGGCGTTTTGAACTGGAGAGGTTACCATGTTCGCATGCAGTTGCAGCTGTGGAGTCCAAGAATGTTTATCGTATATCACTGTGCAGTCCTTACTATACCAGTGCTTATTTGGTGAGCGCATACGCTCATTCAGTCATGTCGGTTGATTCAGCGCAACTAGTTCCAGATAACGTGGTTAACCTACCATGCTTTCCCCCCTTTATTCGTCTTCAGCCAGGAAAGCCTAAGAAAAATAGAATGAAATCTGCTTTAGAGGTTACACTTGAAAACAAGCGTCCTAGGAAGGAACACACATGTTCTCAATGTAGACAGAGTGGTCATAACGTGAAAACTTGTCCGATTTAAAAGTGTCACAATTGATTTCAATTATGTAGACTATTGGTTGTATTACAGCTGAGTTATTAATTTTCATGTTTCTTATTATGGCTGAGTTATCGACATGGTAGGGCTGAGTTATAGTACGGCTGAGTTATTAAAATATGAATGGCTGAGTCTCTTAATAATATACTGCGGCTGAGTTAAATGAAAGGCTGAGTAAATATACGGCTGAGTTAATTAAACGTTACGGCTGAGTTATTTAAACGTTACCGCTGATTTATTAAAATATGAATGGCTGAGTCTCTTAATAATATACTGCGGTTGAGTTCAATGAAAGACTGAGTAAATATACGGCTGAGTTAATTAAACGTTACGGCTGAGTTAATTAAACATTACTGATGTTAGG